ATTATCTTCTGTTGAAGACATAAAATTGCGTTCAAAATATCTGCAGTTGTAGACAAAATTGCGTTCAAAATATTTAGATTTCAGCACTAAAGATTGATATGCCGCTAAACAAAAACAAGCAAACAACCAACCATTTAAAAAAAAAAATCGCTAAATTGACTGTCAAACGATGATGGACATTAGCGTCCGTTAATCCGGTACACCGTGTACTCAAAATCTTTGTCGTTTGTTACTAGGTGCTGTTAATGTCTACCGGATTCAAATACATTCGGCGTTATAAAATGGGCAGAATTATTGTTTCTGTAACATTCGAGAAAATGGCTTACCACTTGGACGAGAACGGATTTGCACGTGTCTCGCATGTAAATTATTCCCCAAAAGAAAATGGCGGCTTCACGAGACGTGTATTTAAAATAGATAGACTCCGAGTCAGATAGACATTCGCGAGAATCCCTTTTAATGTATGCAAATTTGCACTGCCACTCAATCTATAACAAAGGCTTAAAGACGTGACAGACAGGAATGCAATTACCGTTGCGAACAGGATTTAATTTTTTTTTTTTTTTTTTACCTACGTTCATAATGCTACTCTGGTAGTAGAAATCGGATTCTATATATTTACTAGAAGCCAGGGAAAAATTGATTACAATTCCATTCTATACACTCACTGCCCTCAACAAACCGTGGAAGAGAGTGAACTATTTTTGTTTGTTTAGCGGCATATCAAAACCTTGTGGGTCATTAAATGTCGAAATTTTCTTTGGAGAGTTAGTAATTTTTCTTACAAAAATGTACTGTATTTACTGAATAAAGCCTAACCGCGACATCTCACGTTAGATACCCGTCACACTATTCCACCTATAGAATATTGCAGACTCGCGTGGCTCATTTATTTCAGATGGGTACGTGGCCAAGCGGTTCGAACATACGCTTCTTGAACATGAGACACGAATCTCACCATGATCCATTTATCTGGAAGGTGTGACTTGTTGGTGTTATTGGCGATTGGAAAGTACCTGACAGCCATACAACGGGTTGACCCAAGTCTCGTGAGTGAAATTGCGTATTCAGAACTATTTGGGAGCCGTCATTGGTTGAGATAACTCGTGGATTTGACCTTACTGGTTTTGTTGATCGTCCCAGAAAATGTAACTGAGGTCTGCTCCGTATAGTTGCAGTATAAACCGCAGGGGATCTGTGAATGTTAAACAAATACAACTGTGCCTGAGCAGACGTCTGCAATAGGGTCCTAGCAGACAGCATGCTCGGATATGAGCGGCCAGTCATTACTGATTTCAAATTTTCTTTCGATCTGGTGGGATTTTAATTAAGCGAATATTAAAAAATTGAATATGTTTCTTCTCCATCTGAAATCCGGCCGACGAAAATTATGTCTGTTTCTGTTTGGTGTATATATATATATATATATATATATATATATATATATATATATATATATACTGATTCTAACATTTAATAGGCCATGTAAAAAAAAAAGCTATTGTTCTGGAGGCTGAGAACAGCGTCCTTAAGTGACTGACATTGCGAAGCTTAATCGCAGAGGGGACTGGAGCTGTTAAAAATGGCATGTGTGATTGTATGAAGAGATCTTTTAGAATGAAGACACCTTCACCATTATTGTTGAGAAATCGGCATTTCCTTCATCATCAATCAGGTGCCATTTCAAAAAACATGTAGATTTCTCAATAGTCTAACTGGTACACCCTTTCTAAAAATATAATTGTGAGGTACCATGCCTGTTTTTGAAAGGATCTCCTTTAGACGATAAAATTTTGTTTTCGTCAAGTTTGGCGTCTTTTTCAACATGCTATGCTCTTTTTTAGTGATCTTGTGGAGATACTTAACTGAAGTTTTGCAGAATGGTTTCGTTTACGTATTAATATGCTACGGCTCTAATGTCAAAACTTCAGGTAGAATCAGAGACGACTTTAACGTCCTGCGCCTTGAAGATCTCGGCAAAAAAAGAGCAAGAGAGCTAGCAGAGAGTAGCGTTCTCTATAACTGGCGCCAACCTATTCTGATTTGACTCTATACGTGGTCTTAGAGAGTGCATTTGACAAAGGGCGATAACTCGCTTACTTAACATATATATTTTTCTTATAGTTAAAATTGCCGCAAAACATTTTCGATTTATTGAAGACTAGCAGTAGAGCCCGGCGTTGCCCGGGGATGTAACAGTAAGAGATAGATCAAGTATTTGTTTTTTTTTTACAAATTGGTCAAACCCAAACTCAAGCAAAAACATTGTTTTCAATCATTAGGAGTCTACCGATTGAATAGAATTTTATTATAAACAATTGTCTTGTAAATGGAATTTTTAAAGCATTCTGAATGTAAAAATAAAGAAAAAGTGTGCAAGACAATAAGAAACACTACCTGCCAAAAAAAAAAAGTGAAGTTTTGTTGAAATCGGTTGAAAATGTAAAATCCGATCCCATATATAAACGAACACAGACACACACACACAAACAACCTGAGTTTTATAATAAGTATAACTTGATATAAGTTGTCCCCCTTTCATTCTCGCGATGCCTCTTAATCGTGTTTTCAAATTGATTTTGTGCAAAAACAATTGTGTTTGTCCAATTTTTGTTGCTGTCAGAACCACCTCAAGGTAATTTTACGTAGTCCTGTGACGTTTTGTTGAAATCGGTTGAAAAATGTAGGAAATCCGATCCAATATATAAACGTACAGACACACACACACACAATCTGCGTTTTATAATAAGATTATATAATCTATTATGACATGTCTCTAATTTATATTTTGATACATTGTATTTATTTTGAATTTTTCTGGTTGAATTGTTCACCTAAACTGCATATGACCCATTATTATACATTAGTAGGTTATAATAAAATTCATATTTTATATGAATACAACATCATGAAAATTGGGATAATGTAGATACCTCGTATCATAGATTCGGTGAAGTTCCACAAGATCCTTGCATCTTCTCTGGTTACAATAAAGTAAGTTTCCATTTGTTTATGTGCCATGTCCTTTCAGGACGTAGACGATCATGGCTCTCCACCTCCCTCTATCCCTTGCAGCTCTCAACAAGTTCCTTCCCTCTGCTTCCTCCCCCAGACCGTGTTCTGTCATCCACTTGCTTAAGGCCGCTAGGTATGTCACGCATTGTTTTCCCGTCTCTCTATTCGACCGGTGAGTATCAGATTCTTCAGGCCCTTCTTCCTCATTATGTGTCCCAGAAACTTCAGCTGCCTCTTCCTGATGTTAAGTATAAGTCTCCTTCCTCCTCGTTTGAAACCTCTCTAAGATCTCATCGTTGCTCATACGCTCGGTCCATGATATCCTTAGCATCCTTCTGTAGAACCACATCTCTGTCGCCTCGAGTCTCTTCTTCATCTTTGAGGAAATCATCCAACATTCACTGCCATAAAGAAGGACAGATGTCACGTAACAGTTCAGTATTCTTTCCTTTGTTACTAAAGAAATCCTCCTGTCTCGCAGTATTCTGCCCAGCTTTTGGAAAGTGTCCTTGGCCATCCCGATACGCCTACATAACTCAGTGTCGCACTTACCGTCCTCTGTCAAGACGCTTCCCAGGTATTTAATTGATTGATTTTAGCGTTCCCAACCTTCAGATCGCATTTCGCACTCATCCTCTTACTGATGACCATGCATTCTGCTTTCTTGTAGTTTATGCTTAGTCCCTTCTTCACACTATCCGTCGCTATCTTCTGTAGGAGATTTTGGAATTTCATTTCCGTGACTACTATCAGTACTGTGTGATCTGCGTATCTTATGTTGTTAAGATTGTGTCCGCCAATGCTAAATTACGGTAGGGTTTCCAATTCTCGCTGTATTGGTTGAATAGGTCTGGTGAGAAGATGCATCCTTGCCTTACCCCACTTTCTATTTTCCTATATTCACTGAACTTGTTCCCTATGCGCATGCATGCTGTTTGCAGTCAGTATAGGTTCTTGATTATCCTGATATCTTTCCCGAATATATCAAGGTTGCTGAGCAGAAACTATTTTTTTCTTTTTAGTTTTAACTTTTATCGTTATCGATTTCTTTGGCATTGCTTTTGCTTATTTCCGGTCGCTTGAATTTAACGTTATTCTATAGCGTTCTATAGGGATTTACTGAGCGTAGTTTAGATATGGCACAAGGCCATAAGAATTAAGCACCAAAATAGGATAGCTTGGAGTGAACTCTTAAAAATAAACTGAGTCCACTGCTGACAGACAGGTAGACATATAATTCTTTTCATTTATATTAAATGCTTCAGAACATAAGCGGTCATTACTTTCCACAATTTTTAAGTCGTAATGGATTTAGCGATACAAGCTTACTATCAACGAGGATGAAGTGTCTATAGCCATTTACTAAGAATAGTTTAGATTTAACATTATTCATTAAAATCGAGTTAATTTTCTTTATTAAATTGATATTCATAAAAGCAAGTACACTAATAAAATTGAATCTGATGTGCAATCTGTAATTTTGTTTCTATCAAGTAAAAAATGTAGGTTGAATTTTTACCTCAGTTCTTATAGCGTAATGTAATATTTTACACTGCAAAAAAAAACAAAAAAAAAAAGTGTGTTGTAACCGAAAAATATATTGGGTTGGTGCATAATTATCAGGCGTTTTTAGGTGATTATTTGTTAATAAAAATTGCCTTTTTGTTTACCTTTTTTTTTTTTTAATAAAAATATTATTTTATTTTCAGGTTATAAAAATGCGTGTCGATAATCATACGCTCCGGAATAATCATTTAAAAATATTATTGTTCAATTATGTTTCTTTTTTTTTTCAAAATAAATATTGTTTAAAACGCCTGATAAATATGCACCAACTCAATATATTTGATTTTAAAAATAATTTATTAATCCAAAATTCTGGTCTCCCTTCTTGTAAATATTATAATTCATAATAAAAAATATATTGACGATAAAATTTATCTTTTATGAGTAATTTATGTTATTCTTTCTAAAAAGTATTTAGCTTACGGCCATATCACGTTGAAACCCCGGTTGCCGTATGATCATCGAAGTTAAGCAATGTCCCGCCTTGTCAGTACCTAGATGCATGACCGCTTGAGAATATCATCTGCTGTAACGTTGGATGTGCCGGTGGTATAATGGATAATGGCACTGAATTATTCACCGGAGAGTCGGGTTCAAATTCGATTTGGATTCGTTATATTTACTTACTCGCAAATACCCACCTCTTCTCCCCCACATATGGGTTAATTAGTAATACTTGTATCACTAAATCATTTTTATCCCCAAAAAACAATTCTAACAAACTAAAAATATTTCCTAGCTTACTTTCTTACTCGCCAATACCATTTGCGAAAGATAGGAATGCCTCTCTTCTCCCCTAGCTATGGATTAATTAGTAAGACTTGTATCACTAAATCATTATTATTTCAGAAAAATTCCAGCAATATAAAAATATTTTCTGGCTTTAAATAACCAGAAAAGGGCTGACAAGCCATATAAAACGTATCAATTAATCATATACATTTGTACAGGTGTGACACTATTTAGGGTTGCGTGAAAAAAAAAGGCGAGGATTAATTTAGGTGATAAGAAGCTATCACGAAAAGACACTGAGCGATGTTATTTTTTCTAACAAAGAAAAGTGGTAAAGATTTTATTTTCATTAGCGAAGAAAGTAAGATCGCGGATCTGTCGGATTTGATTTGATTTATGTTACGACAGAGCGAATAAAAGATAGCCGTCTGCCCACGGCAATAATGAAAATTTCAAATTGGTCAAGTGGCCTACAAGACAGAATGCTAAGAGATAATGGTAATTAGGCCACCCAAGAGAAAGAAGGAAAGATTAAACCATTAACTATCTTCGGCGATAACATTGGTTTGAAAAAAAAAACACCGGTTTTATTGTCCAAACCTGGACATGATAAAAGTTTGTATCGGAAGAGATAATTAGCGACAGAATGCAAATACGTTCAGTTAAACCACTCACTTGACGCTGGCGAAAATCTCGATTGATAAAGTCCAGATGACATTCGGTTAATATAGAGATTAGAGACCATCCTACGAGTCGTGTGAGGTCTGCTCGTGGAAGAGAAAGAAAAAGATAAAAAAAGGAAAGAAGATAATTGTTTTTCCTTTGAGCGATAATTGCAAACACCCACGCTGCTGAGCGTTCATTGGCTGAAGGGTGGCGTGAGCGGTAGGCGAAGGTGAACTATGAAGAAGGAGGGGAGGCCTGTTGACGCCCCCTGAAGGGATTGGTGTGAGATGCCACTGTGAGAGAGAGGGGAAACTGTTGACGCCCCCTGAGGCGATTGGTGTGAGATACCAATATGAGAAAGGAAGAATTTGGGAGGACGATTCCCTTTAAGTAGAAAGTAAGGACTTCCAAAAATGGAAAGTAATAAATTTTCCTGACCGAAAACAAAGAAGATTCTTATTGTAGATTTAGAATTATCAAGGAACCTCAAACCCCGACAAGCCCACCCCGGTTTTGGCCGGCGTCCATATAAGCAGAGTCGCAGCGAGTTGACTTGTAGTTGAGTTAGAGTTGAGTCAGAGGGAAGTTAGTTGCAGTTGAGCTGTGAGCTCTGAGACCCGCCTCGCAGAAAACTGACAAAGAATCCACGCATCACAACCTCAACTTCTAACCAAGAACAATTTATTTTTGAAGAACGACTTAGACTCACACCACCAAAACAAGTTTTACGAATATCGCCTGAAGATACACCAAGAACCAGTTTCTTAAAGAAAAAAACAACTTAAGATGTTAAGACTCGCCTAACAAACGCAATGTGTCACGTATCCATATAAGCGGGTTGGAAGAAAGACGCAGTCCTGTATTCAGCAACCAGATATAAAATATTGTTATTCTTTTTTTAACACATTTGAACTTTTCAAGTTGTTACTTTATTTTCTTTTACATATACTTGTGATGTATTACCCTTGTTCAGACTCGACTTGCATTGCGGCCCGGCGACTGATTGATTTCGTCGACCTAATATCAAATCACAACGCGGGTAGGTTAGACTAGAAATCAAAGTAGTTACTTCGATAACCAGACGTTGGAGGCGAGCTGAAAACGACAAGGCTGATACCGAATCTAACCAGATTCCCTATCCGAATCAGCAAAAGGTTAGAATGTCACATTTGGCACCGCGACCAATACCAAGTCACATTGGCGCGGAGACAGACGGGGTGACGTCAAACAGGGTGTTCCTAACGTCTGAATTCAGTCTTTTATGCATTCAGTCATGTGTGTTGCATTTGTGATTTTCAATGAGTACACCTTCTCCATTAGCATATCCCCAGAAAAAGAAGTCATTTTTTTTACACTTTATGCATTCAATCAAGTGTGTTGCATCTGTGATCTTCATTGAGTACACCTTCTCCTTTAGGATATCAATCTGACAAAACCATGTTTAATCTCTGAAGGTAAATATATATATATATATATATATATATATATATATATATATATATATAATTAATGATATTTCCTATGTGTCCAGACTTTATGGACACCCCTGTATTTTTTTATTTCCTTCTTTAGAACTCTTTTTCTTCCATCATTCTTTTGATCACTAGCTTCGCTTTTATTTTTTCTCAATGTCCATGTTGCTTGCCTTCGTAGCCATTGCATACTATCAGCTATATTTTAATGTTTTTAATGTCTTATGCCATCAAACGTAGGCGGTCATGACTCGCTACAGTTTCCTTTTATTTTATTATTTTTGAATTTGAATTAAATAAAAAGTATTTAATCAAGTAGGTTGGATTTTATAAAAGAAAAACCTAAAACAGAAGCAAATGTAATATTATTATACTTGAAAACTAATTAAAAAAAAGTAATTTATTAATTTGTAACTTTCCTCTCCAAATTTCTGAAATTCAATTTTTTTTTTAAATAGGCCACTAGTTCTGTCAATGAGTTGCACGATGAGTTGGCTAGTAAACAGAACGCCATGCGTAATTCAGTCGAAAATCTTATAGTTTGTTAGCAAGTGACAAATAACTTTATCCCTCAAACGGCTTGCATTCATCTATTCATATCGCAAATGATTGAATGCGATAAACAGAGAATCTTTTTTTAATTGTCCGAAATGAATATAAAACGCGGTCAGTAGATAAGGTCAGTGAATTTTTGCGCAATGAAAAATAATCCGTTTGCGAAATACAAACTCTAAAAAAAAAAAAAAAGTTTAAATATTTTAACCACAAATAACAAACGAAGACTGAGAAAACGATTATATATATATATATATATATATATATATATATATATATATATATATATATATATATATATATAAAATTTGTTCATAAAATAAAAATCTCTGTTAAAAAAGAAAAAATAAATAATAAATAACAAAAACAAACAAACAGACAATGAGTTAAAAAAAAATGGCGAAGTCTGTAAAGATACAATCGTTCTCATATTTCACAGATACACAATTTGAAGTTGAAAAGATTAAGTAGAAAAATGAATAAAAAAGAGGGGGGTACATTTCTTGCGTGTGGATAAGGTAAACATAAATCAACAATGCTGATCGGATGAATGAAATAAAAAGACCAAGAAAGTAAATTTAACAACAACAAAAGGAAATGTTAGAAAAAAATAAAAAGAAAGAGTCAGTCATGACAATATCGCGTTAAAGCAATGACTCCGCCATTTTATCCCAACTATAGCATTTTTTTTTTTATCCTTTTCTTATGGCTTATTTTCTTTTTTGTTTGTTTCTTTCTTTATTTCCTGCCGTTCATTTTTTTCAATCATTCATTTTTGGCTTCCTTATTTAAATCATTCACTGTTGTATTTTACTTCTTTCGTTTTTTTTCTTTTTCAATAAATCATTCCTTTTTTTCCTTCACTTTTGCGTTCACTACGTTTTTTCTTCATTATTTCTTTTTGATTCATTTTTTCAATAGTTCATTTGTTTTGTTTTTTTTTACTGATCGCTTCCATTTCGAAATTTAAGACTGTTAATATCTATCTATCTATCTATCTATCTATCTAATCTATATATCTATATATATATATATATATATATATATATATATATATATATATATATATATCACAGCCTGTTCACATATTACAATTTCAGTCTGTTCAAATCTCAGCCTGTTCAAATCTATTCGAATCTGTTCAAAGCTATCTATCTATCTATCTATCTATCTATATATATATATATATATATATATATATATATATATATATATATATATATATTTCCGTCTGTTCATATCTATCAGTCTGTATAAATCTACCTCGGTCTGTTCTAATCTATCTATCTATCTCTATCTATCTATCTATCTATCTATCTCAGTCTGTTCAAATCTATCTATCTATCTATCTATCTAATATATATATATATATATATATATATATATATATATATATATATATATATCACAGCCTGTTCACATATTTCAATTTCAGTCTGTTCAAATCTCAGCCTGTTCAAATCTATCTATCTATCTATCTATCTATCTATCTATCTCAGTCTGTTCAAATCTATCTATCTATCTATCTATCTCTATCTATCATCAGACGGTTCACATATATCAATTTCAGTCAGTTCAAATCTCAGTCTGTTCAAAACTATCTCTCTCTCTCTCTCTCTCTCTGTATATATATATATATATATATATATATATATATATATATATATATATATATATATATATATATATATACGTCCTGACGATTAAGACGTGCGGTATCCATTTAAAAAAGACGGGGGGTCATATAGACTGGAAGTTTGTGGTAAAAAAAGGTGAGTCCCATAATCCGAAATAATCATTGAATGGTATAAATACGGTTTAGCAGAAATTCACAATGGTCTATTCTTCAAGCGCTTTGCACCAGTTCCCACCTATTTTCCACCCCTCAAAAAACATCTAATTTTTTTTTTAAATGTTAGGGTGGAAGAATTAATGACAAATGACTCAGTTATTGTTACAGATCGTCATCGACTCTCAACGGAAATCGTCGATCTCAGAATTTAAAAAAAAATATTTGGCCTCAAACTTGAAACGTTTTATTATTATTATTATTATTATTATTATTATTATTATTACTGCTACTACTACTACACCTAAAACAAACATACCCTTGATAGCTTGGCCTTTCTTTTGACCTGGGCAGTCGATCAGAAGCTAATCAAAGTATTTACCGTCCGAGTTGGCCTGGCTAAAGAGAAAAGAATCAGGTTTCTGTTAAATCTCAGCACACATTAGCCCAATAGACATATATCAATCTCGCTATATGTCTGTGCATGTGTATGCTTATGTATTTAATTCATATATTTGTACATACATAAGACGATAGAAAAAGGAACTTCATCTATCGTCGAAGAAGCAAAGCGTTTAACGTCTTCAATTTTGATGACTTGTTTGTTTCTTTCTTTCCCTTTTTTCCTTCCCCTCTCTTTTTTCTTTCTTTCTTTCATTCTCTCTCTCTCTCTCTCTCTCTCTCTCTGTTCTTTCTTTCTTTTTTCTTTCATTTTCATATTTATTTCTATCTTTTTTAGTTGTTACTTTCCCTTTTTCTTTTCCTCTTTATTTTTCTTTTCATTTTTTGTTTCTTTCTTTTCCTATTTTATTTGTTTCTTTCTTTTTGTTTCTTTCTTTTTTGTTTGTTTCCTTCCTCTTTCTTTCTTTCTTTTTTCTTTCTTTCTTTCTTTCTTTCTTTCTTTCTTTTCTTTTTCCCCAGGTCTTGTATTCATTTCTCTCTCTCTCTCTCTCTCTCTCTCTCTCTCTCTTTGTTTGATTTTTTATTTTATTTTATTAGGCTTTTTCGTTATATTTTTTCCTTCTTTCGAACACTCTTTTCTTGTTTCTTTCTTTCTTTCTTTTTCTCTCACTCCCTCTCTCTCCCTTTCTTCGGTTTTGTTATTTTATTTTCCATATGTTGCCTTTGTTTATTATAAACTATATTTTCATATGCTTAATACCTTACCTCTAGGATTTAGGCTGTCATGACTCTCCACAATTTCCTTTTCTTTATCATTTGTGAATTGTCATTACATCTTGGGAAAATAGTGGAGTGTTTTTCTGTTGCCTTCTCCACAGTTATCCATTCAGGGCTGCCATCCAAGGTTATAGAGCCCCATTCTACTCTAACATATATCTAGTAGAAAAGTTGGATTCATACCTTTGCATTTGTGGAAAAGTGCTTGGAACATACTAGGCCGGAATTTGAACTCGGCTCGCAGATTCCATGCCGATAACCGTTATTCTAGCCACACATCTAACGGCTAAAATATACGGCATTTTCGCTCATATTTTATGGAGTTACCAATTTATATTTCTAGAAAATATATATCTTATGCTTTAGGTGTTATCTGATAGATGGTTTTGAATACAGTCTAGTACTGATCACCAGCTAATTCTAGGGAGTCAGTCTACCCTACTATTTAACACATTGCTGTGAGATAGGGGAAAAAGAGCCTCATGCCTTTCGCAAAGGAATTTGGATGAAAGCAAATGCAATAATCTGGAAAGGAATTAACACTTTTATTCATCTTTAGAATTTACTGTCGGATTTTAAGCCACATGAAAAAAGTGGAAGGCAGTTGTGGAGAGCCATGATCTCCTACTGACCAGAGATTTTGGAGCATTTTTTTTAAGCATTTCACCCCAAGCAAGGCGTGAAGCCACTAGCACGCAAGGGTTGACAGAGAGTTGGAGCGAGAGCAAATAGGAGTGATAGAGGAAAGGATGAAGAGAAGGATAAGGGATAGATCAGGGCATCTGGAGACGTCGATTGACGTTACATTTGAATAGTTGGAGATTATAGCTATTAGGGAAACAGGAAAAGTGGAGGGAGTTCCACAGGCGAGAAGTGCGAGACATGAAGCTATTGGAGTAGAAGAGACGGCTACATTTAACAGTTTCGACAGTGAAATGGTGAGAGCGAGATGCCAGCCTAGTTGAACGCTTAAATTCATGAAGTCTGGGAACCAGCGAAAGCAGCTCCTCGGAGCAGTTACCATGAAAGTATTTGTAAAAAGACAGAGGGCGGCAACGGCACGTCTGTGAGAGAACGGTTGCAGACGAGATGCCAGATCAGGGCCAATTACATTGCATATCCGCCTCTGGATTTTATCAAGAACCTTGAGACAAACAAAAGGGGCCCCAGACCATACATGGCAGCAATACTCCATGCAAGGGCGAATGGTTGATTTGTAGATTTGAAGGATCGACTCCGGCGAGAAAAATTTCATGGCACGGCACAGGGAGACAATTTTCCTCGCGGTGGACGAAGCTATTGACTCAATGTATTTGTTCCATCTCAGGTCAGCAGTCAACGTGAGACCGAGTAGTCGCAAAGAGGTGCTCTCGAGAAGTTGAGCGCCTAACACTATCCGGACACAAACAAGTTTGTGGTCCGAATAGCCTAATTAATGGAACATGGGGTAATCTAGCAAGTCTGGTTAGATGGCCAATTAAGTGCCCATGTCCATATCTCCCGCAAAGCGTGAACGACCCGGTATCTATCGACGAGAGCATACTCGTCACGTCAATCAGAACAACCAAGCCACGATCACTCAATCTCCAGCTAGCCCCCGACACCTGTCTAGATGGTGTCCAGGATGATATTCCAAACCCCCATTAGGATTAGGCGCGTCGGATCCACCAGGAACGGCTCCAACTGACGGAAGCACGAAAGACGCCCCCGTCTGATCGTTGGGTGCATACACCGTAATGATCCGAAACGAAGAAATGTTTACGGTAATGTCGGCCACGACCAACGGCTTAACTCTAGCATCGACATGAACATAACTCACCCTCGAGCCCAGGAAACGTTTCACCAGCAAGGAAACTCTTCTGACCAGCCAATCACTGTATGTTGAATAGACAACGAAGTCAACAGATAGCACACGAGTACTGACGTCACAAACAAAAAGAGTCTCCTGGATAGCAGCCACATCCACACTGTAGAACAGAAGATCACGAATAAAGCTGGCCGCCTTACTCCAATCTCTCAAGCTGTTCCTATTCAGGTTGTATACCAACTTGATAGCTCATTTCTAAGTACCAGATTGGTCGGAAATCAGTGGGAGCCCATTTCGTGCGTAACCCGTTCGTCTGCGATAAATCCACCGACGTCCGTAGGAATGTTAGTTTTATGGCGCTTTATAAGGAAGAGTGGATAAGAACCGGGCAGTTTTCCTCAATTTTCTTGAGCACAGGTGACCGCTACTAATTATTCCACGAATGATTCTGTTGATGTCGAGGCTACTGCCGCTGCCTTTTCTTCGGTGCTTGGAAGAGGAAGGAGTCTTAGACTTTGATCCTTTCCTCGACATCTCCTTCCATCCATCGAAGACATCGATCCTTTCTGTCCCCACCGTTTCCTTGGCTGTTGCTGGTTCGGCCTCTGGCGCCGGATTCGTCCGGGACACGCTTTTTTCAAGTGCTCTGTGGCACCGCAAGACTACGAAGGAAGCAGAAAGTCTCCAGTGGCAATTTCCGCCTTACTGTTAACTGAAGTAACACCACCGACGGGTTCATACCATGAAAATAAAACACACATGATCCTCGGAGATACCCATGGATACTCCGTGAAGCGTTATCCTGGTCTTGCGGATGCCCATGTAATCCGATTTGCTCCCTGCCAACTCCTTAGTAGCGTCTCAGGATGTGCACATGGCATTGCTACGTTTAGCACTTTGGCAGAAATTTTGCGAGCTTCATTCACTGTCTCCATACTATGTTGGAGCTTTTGAGAGCTTCCTCTGTTGTCTCCTTTCTATGCTGAGGCTTTTGAGAGCTTCCTGCATTGTCTTCCTGCTATGTTGAAGCTTTTGATAACTTCCTCCATTGTCTCCTTGCTATTTCCTCCATTGTCTCCTTGCTATTTCCTCCATTATCTCCTTGCTACTTGCTCCGTTGTCTCCTTGCTATTTCCTCCATTGTCTCCTTGCTGCTTCCTCCATTTTTCCCTTGCTATTTCCTCCATTGTCTCCTTGCTATTTCCTCCAGTGTCTCCTTGCTATTTCCTCCATTGGCTCCTTACTACTTCCTCCATTGTCTCCTTGCTATTTCCTCCATTGTCTCCTTGGTACTTCCTCCATTGGCTCCTTACTACTTCCTCCATTGTCTCCTTGCTATTTCCTCCATTGTCTCCTTGCTTTTGAGAGCTACTCCGTTGACTCGATGCTACGTCGAGGCTTTTGAGAGATTCTTCCGTTGTCTCCCCACCCTATGTTGAAGCTTTTGAGAGCTTCCTCTATTGTCTCCCTGCTACGTTGAGGCTTTTGAGAGCTTCCTCTGTTGTCTCCTTACTATGCTGAGGCGTTTGAGAGCTTCTTGCATTGCCTTCCTGCTATGTTGAAGCTTTCGAGAACTTCCTTCATTGTCTCCTTGCTATTTCCTCCATTGTCTCCTTGCTACTTGCTCCATTGTCTCCTTGCTATTTCCTCCATTGTCTCCTTGCTACTTCCTCCATTGTCTCCTTGCTATTTCCTCCATTTTCTCCTTGCTACTTCCTCCATTGTATCCTTGCTATTTCCTCCATTGTCTCCTTGCTTTTGAGAGCTACTCCGTTCACTCGATTCTATGTTGAGGCTTTTGAGAGCTTCCTCTCTCGTCTCCCTGCTACGTCGAGGCTTTTGAGAGCTTCTTCCGTTGTCTCCCCACCACCATGTTGAAGCTTTTGAGAGCTTCCTCTATTGTCTCCCTGCTACGTTGAGGCTTTTGAGAGCTTCCTTTGTTGTCTCCCTATGTCGAGGCTTTTGATAGCCTTCTCCGTTGTCTCCCTGCTATGTTTAGGCTTTTGAGAACTTCCCCCATTGTCTCCTTGTTACGTTGAGGCTTTTGAGAGCTTTCTCCGTTGTCTCCCTGTTACGTTGAAACTTTTGAGAACATCATTGTCTCCTTCCTACCTTGATGCTTTTGAGAGCTTCCTCCATTGTCTCCCTGCTATGTTTAGGCTTTTGAGAGCTCCCTCCATTGTCTCACTGCTAAAACCAAACAACCTACGGGTTCCCTAATTAGCAAGGATATTGTTCTAGTGGCCTCCGATTCCAGAGTCAATGACACCGTTAAAAATTACTTTCTCGAGATGAGCTCTCGGCATTTGTCTTGCAGAATATTCTTATTTCGAGGCGCAGCAGAGGTCCAAGACGATGATGGCTTAACAGACGCATTGTTTCCTGTTGCTCTGAATCCTGGTAAGGCTCCGCCAAATACAAATACCTCCCATACAACCAGCAATAAAATTATGCCCGACGTAAAAAAAAAAAAAATAAAAAAAACTGTAAAAACGTACAAAAAATTAAAATGCTATAAATATCCTTGCTGGGTTTTAAACGTGCTGAGGAAATAATCCTTTAGGGTAGGCACTTCCACAGAAATGCGTTAAGATAGGATTTAATCCGAATACGTAGCTGTTCAAAAATATTAAAATATAAAGCATCCGTACTGGACTGTATAATAATCCTTTAAGGTAAAATTTATCCACAAGTTAGTAAATCCTTCAAAGCCTGGTCAAAGTTGATAATCAGAACAGATAATACACTTTGATCTTAGCCAAAAAAGCCGAGAAGTGAGGAAACCGTGATAAAAGTGACATTTTCAGACGCACAGTAACTGAATAAGGCAATCAGCAAAAAATCCAAATAAAATTTTAAATAAAATAACATTGTCGACTGAATTATTTTCAAATTATTATTTAGAGAAATGTTCGTAAGACGGAGATTTGGTTAGGAAGGAAGGAAGGAGAAGGAGGCAGGGAAGGAAGGAAGGGGAAGGAAGGGGAAGGAAGGAGGGTAGGAAGGAAAGAAGGGGAAGGAAGGAGGGAAGGAAGGAAGGGGAAGAAAGTCAGGAAGAAAGTCAGGGAGGAAGGAAGGAAGATGAAGGAAAAGAAGGGAAGGAAGGAAGGAAGGAAGGAACGAACGAAGGGAAGGAAGGAAGAATGGGGAAGAAAGTCAGGAAGGGGAAGGAAGGGGGAGGAAGGAAGGAAGGAAGGAAGGAATGATGAAGGGAAGGAAGGAAGGAAGGAAGGAAGGAAGGGAAGGAACGAACGAACGAATGAAGGAAGGAAGGAAGGAAGGAACGGAAGGAAGGAAGGAAGGGAAGAAAGGAGGGAGGGATGGAAGGAAGGAATGGAATGAATGAATGAGGGAAGGAAAGAGTGAAGGAAAGGAAGGAAGGAAGGAAGGAAGGAAGGAAGGAAGGAAGGAAGATAGGAAGGGAAAAAGGGAAGGGGGATGGAGGGGGGGAGGAAGGGAAGGAAGGGAAGGAAGGAAGGAAGGAAGGAAGGAAGGAAGGGAGGAAGGAAGGAAGGAAATGAAGGAAGGAAGGAAGGAAGGAATGGGAAGGAGGTAGGGAAGGAATGAAGGAAGGAAGGAAGGGGAAGGGGAAAAGGAAGGAGGGGGGAAAGGAAGGAAGGAATTGTTTAATCTCTCCTGCCATTACCTCATTATAATGTAATGAAGGGGAATCAGAGGGAAAAGAAAGAAAGAAAGAAAGAAGGAAGGAAAGGAAGGAAATCATTTCATTCTTACCCCCATTTACTTCTTAAAATAACGACCAGCATTCAGGAAGGGAAGGAAAAATATTTAACGATAAAAAGGGAAGGAATATATTATTGGAAATTCACCCTGGCTTATTTAATCATTAACTAAAGAATTAAGGAGGGGAACCATGGAAGGAGAAGGGATGCAGGAAGGAAGGAATGAAATGAGAAAAAAATTGCAGGAGAAATCTTTTGATTACCGTCAAGAGTTTTGACTAGAACAGTCTTGAATCCCTCAAGAATTTTGGACCTGGTGCTTCAAACCGCCTGAATATCCAACGTGAAACATTTTAAGGAGAAACTTTCAAGTTTTGTTTGTCCTTAACGCATGAACTAAGGAATGGTTACAAAACAAACAAAAAATATTCAATCACCCACTCTAATGGATAATCTCAAAACTCTTTGCCAAATACAACAATGAGAAATGGTAAAATGTTTCAGATATAGGTGGATTAGACGAATGTACAAAAGTAGAAATGTAGAATTGACCATCTTGAGATTTTTTGTCACAAAGTTTAAGAAAAGATAATGAAGAAAATGTAAGAAAGAAGTACACAAGCGTCGGCGGAAATACCGAGCTGAAAAAAACAGAATAACAGCCATAAACAGGCTGTCCCTGTGGTGTTCCTTAATATCTGACATTAAGCAAATTTCTGCATCATTCAGAACTGAGGTTGGTCGTCTAACCCAGATCCGAAGGAAAGGAAATTAACTAGAACTGTCCTACAAAACTATAAATAATTGGCCTCAAAGATACCTGGAAACTACAGAAGACTGGATGATGATATGTGTCAAAGAACATGAAAATATATATATATATATTCAAAAATCGTACGACTCATACAAATCACTTGACTTAAAAATTTTTGCCCTTCCTTGCCTTTAAAGGAGTGCCTTTGCCGTGCTGATAAATATCCAATTTTTTCTAAGCTCTATACTAAACATTAAATCTGTTACAAAAAAAAAGAACTGAAAATGAACACAAAACGATCATTTTAAAAAAAGGACTCTAACTGAAAAACCGAATGAAAAAAGAATGTTATCAGTTCTGCGAAATCAGAATCAACGTTGAAAATAATGGAACACATGGAATAGTTAAAAATAGCGCTGTTGGCTCTCAAATTTTTCCTGCCTATTCGTTAGGCCAAGTAGAAAATCAACTCATGAAAACTGCCCGTGAAGCAATTTCCATTATCGATGGGAGTTGAGAAGGTTTTATCCTTTCTGACAGGACCGGTGCTTGTTAACGAGAAATTATCAAGCACACATACTAAAAATATTATGTTAGCCCAAAATGCAGATTCTGGAAAATATCCAGAAATAATTGACCATCTTGCAAATGGAACACACGGAATATCACGGCATACGGAAATATCTGCACTGAAAATGTGCAATCTACGGAAAGGAAAACGTTATCTCCACACGTGATAGTAATTGACGTAATTTTCAGTTATCACTAAGAAAATAGCGCTTTCTAAATTTTTCCAGTTGCTAAGGACATTTTGTTTTTGTTATTATGTTTAAATAAATTCATTTCATTTTTTGCCTCGAGAAAGTCCACATTGGACGAAACGCGTCGGCTAATATTACAGTTTTCCTATTGTCATTTATATTTATAAATATTGTCTTTTTCTACAGGTTAATTTTTTAATTTTTCATATATATATGTGTGTGTGTGTGTGTGTGTCAATTTCATATTATGTCGCATATTTTCTTTTTCTAAAACAGAGCATCTCCGATGCATTGTTTTTTCGTCATCCCACGCATTCAAAACGGAATGGTTTATTCTATATCTGAGGCAATGACGGGCCGTAACGCACGTGTTAACTTACTAAATAATGGAAGAAAAACCTGGATTACAATATGATTTCCTATCCGTCACTTATCCCAGCGTATTGCAATAATTGTTCTATTTTATTATTAGTTATCGTTGTTAATCTCTTATTGTTCCTAATAAGATCTACCTCAAGAACGATCCTTCTATTCGTCACAACTTTTATAGCAGTATATAGATATAATTGTTACTTATTTTTCTTTTTAATCAGGTTCCTCCCAAGCAAGACAGTGATGCTGCTAAAACACAAGTGGTTACAGGGTGTGGAAGAATTAGGAACAGAAACATTAATAAAGATGAACAGAAAGAGAAAAGAGTAATTAGGAGGACAGTAGATAGTAACTGACATTGCATTTAAATGTTTGCAGATTAAAGTTGGCTAGAAAGCATGGAGCTGGAAGGGAGTTCAACAAGCGAGAAGTGCGAGAAAAGAAACGGTTAGCAAAGAACTTACATCTAGCCAGCTCAACTGTAACTGATGAGATCTCGACGCCAGTCAAGTGCTGCGCTTAAATTCATAAAGTCTAGGTACCAGAGCGAAGTACTTGTCCGAACAATTACCATGAAAGTATTTATAGAAATTACACATAAAAGTAACCTTACGGCGGTAGAAAAGTGACTAGAGCCGAGTAGACAGATCAGGACTGATAATATTGCTGATTCTTCTTTGGATCTTATCAAGGCTCTCAATGTAAATAGCAGGGACACCGGACCATATGTGGCAGAAATATTCTAAGCATGGACGAATGATAAACTTATAGGTTAGATAGATTCTGGTGAGAAACATAGTGGTCTGGCTGTTTTAGAAGGTGACCTAACAATGGATTCAATATAGTCTTTCCATTTGATATCAGCAGAAAAAATGAGCCCGAGAAGGCACAAGTCATTTTCCTGGAGGATAGCATCAGCCATACTGATAGAAGGTGTCTCTTAGATGATTAATGGAGATAAGTTTAGTTTTGGAGGCATTAAGATTAACAAGCTATCTTTTGCCCCAGTTAACTACGGACTTAAGGTCGTTTTCGTCATCGGCTGCCATTTTGACCTTGTTAGACCGATCAGCCTTACTATCGAGGCAGGAGTAAATGGTTGTGTCGTCAGCGTAGATGTCAAGTTGAGAGCTGATGTCAGGATATGATAGACTGCAACAGAGACACCTTCTATAAGAATAAGGCGGGACCGAAGCTATTGCAACATAGAATTTACGGTTACATATAGCGAGCTCAACTGTAAATTGATGAGATCTCCCCCGCCAGTTTGGTACTTCACTTAAATTCATGAAGTCTACTTACCATAACGAAGAGCTCATCCGAACAATTACCATGAAAGTATTTATTTTTTTAAAAATGCAGAGAAACCCCCTTATGGCAGTGAGAAAGCGACAGAAGCCGAGCAGCCAGATCAGGTCCAATAATATTGCTGGTTCTTTGAATCTTATCAAAGAGCTCGAGGTAAGTAGCAGAAACACTGGACTATATGTAACAGCAATATTCTAAGCATGGATGAATGGTAGACTGATAGATATGTAAGATAGATTCTGGAGAGAAAAAGTCTCTCGCACGAAATAGTGACTCGAGTTTCTTAGCAGCTGAGCTAGCAACGGATTTAATATTTAATATAGTCTTCCCACTTCATGTCAGCTGAGAACGTTATCCCAAGAAGGTTAGTATCAGCCATGTTGATGGAAGGCAACGAGGCGTCTCTTAGATGATTAATGGAGATAAGTTTAGTTTTGGAGGCATTAAAATTAAGAAGCCGTCTTTTGCCCCAGTTAAAGACGAACTGAAGAGAAGCTGAAATATCTCAACATGACGGATCCATTTACCATATATACTTTAATGAGATTTTCTTAACGGATTTGTTTTTGTATTTTAGAATTGAAGTTGTGAAAGAATTGTCCACGGCTCATCTTGTTAAGTTTGTAAGCTTTCCACTGGCTTCAGTCATTATCAAGAATAGATAACAAGTTGAGAGCAAGGAAGGTCATTAATGAAAATTAAAAAGTAGACCAAGGATGGAACCCTGGGGGTGGGGGACACCTACGTTAGTGCGAAAGAGTCTAGACGAGTGGTCGTTCAGGACAACTCTAATTTCACGATCTCAAAGGAAAGATTTGATCAGTTCAAAAAAGTATCCGTAGACACCGTAACTTTTCAGCTTGTAGAGAAGACCTGAATGCCAGACCACTATCAGAGGCTTTCGACATGTTCAATGCAACAGTCTCGGCTTCACCGTTTTTATTTAGAGCATGATAAACTCTTTCCGCAAATATCGTCAGTACACCAGCAGTTGATCTGGAGAAACGAAAGCCATATTGATTGTCTGAGAAAAGGCCCTGCGATGATTACAGCCTGTAAGAGTTTCCTCAAAAGAGGCAGAAAGCTAATAGGCCAATAGTTAGAAAGGTCCGACGATTCACCAGAGTTCTTCAAATCTGGAACAACAGATGATGTCCTCTAGTAGACATAAAAGCAAGAGGCAGGGATTTATTATGAAGTTTAGAAAGAAAAGGGGCTAGATCAGGAGTACATTTCTTAATGAATATTAAAGGCATAACATCTGGTCCAAATGCTTTATGGGGAACTAGGTCAGAGATGATTGTAGAAACCACGGAACAGCTTATATGCATATCACTCAACAAAGACTTAGTTCACTATTTACATTATTCGGACTATTGTCCTCATCTTTGTCGCCATATTTATCCGATCCTTCAGTATCTGTCTATATTTCTTAGATGAAGTATTATGTACACTATTTACATTATTCGGACTATTGTCCTCATCTTCGTCGCCATATTTATCCGATCCTTCAGTATCTGTCTATATTTCTGAGATGAGGTATTATGTACACTATTTTCATTATTCGGACTATTGTCCTCATCTTTGTCGCCATATTTATCCGATCCTTCAGTATCTGTCTATATTTCTGAGATCATATATTATGTACACTACTTACATTATTCGGACTATTGTTCTCATCTTTGTCGCCATATTTATCCGATCCTTCAGTATCTGTCTATATTTCTGAGATGAGGTATTATGTACACAGTTTACATTATTCGGACTATTGTCCTCATCTTTGTCGCCATATTTATCCGATCCTTCAGTATCTGTCTATATTTCTGAGATGAGGTATTATGTACAC